TCTGTAAAAGATTGAGGAAACAAAATGTCATGATTTTGAAAATGATCAATATTTGCTGTGATGGGTCTAACCCACTCACCAAACCTATCTGGTGGTTTTCTAACCCTTGATGACCTTCGAACAATACTGGGGTCATCTGTAACAAGAGAAAAATTGTTACCATTAGAAACATTAGTATTAAAATTACTACATATATTATTATTATGGGAACTTCTAGATTGGTTTCCACCTGAAATAACAGAATTTAGATTATCAACAGAAAAATTATCTCTAAAATGTAAATTTGGAGAAACATGTTGATTCCTTAAATTCCTTGATAAAGATGACTCTCCACCAGTAGATGACAACTGATCCTCACAAACAACATGTGGATTGTTGATTGGCTGCACCGGTCTAAGTACACGGGACTTGGATGCTGGCCGTCTATGGGGTGGGATGTACCTAGGAGTTTCACTTCCTGTGCTGCAGTCTGACTGACTCTTGCTCTGGTACAACTCCTGTATGTATAGTTTGTTCCCTATTTTCTGGTCTGGCTTTCGGCTTAAAAACCCTCTCTTCACTCTGTGTCTCATCGTAAGTGTACGGTATAGACATCAGAGGAAGAAGGAGGTTTCTATGTAGGGTCTTCTCTTTTCCCTTGCAGCTTCTTTCTTCAATTTGTAGACTGGAATATCTTGATTGGGGATGCCTACTATAATGTAAGGTTCCTTCTCCTACTTATCGTCTAACTTACCTTTAGGGGTAACGTTCCTGATGAGGACCCTGTCTCCAACATCTAAAATAGAGTGTCGAACCTTAGCATCATAGTAGGTCTTGTGTCTCTGTTCTTGTTTGATGGAGGTTTCTTGGGCTGTCTTATAGGCAAACTCCATCCTCTTCTTCAACTTGGAACATAGGACTCCCTGGACTTGGACTTCTGTTGATGTTCGATGCCCAAGAATGCATCAATGGCAAGACGTGGGTGCCATCCGAACATAAAATAATGCAGAGAGTAGCCAGTAGACTCACGTTTGGTTGCATTATAGGCATGAACAAAAGGCTTGACAAAGTCCTTCCAATTTCTCTTACCCTCCGAGTCCAGAGTACCGAGCATACCGAATAACGTCAAGTTAAAACGCTCGGTTCGTCCATTAACCATAGCGTGGTAGGGTGCTGTTCGAGACTTCTCCACCCCAGCAATCCTACACAGCTCCTGTATAACCTTACTCTCAAAGTTACGGCCCTGATCACTGTGTAGTCTTGCAGGAAAAGAGAAGTGACAGAAGAAGTTCTCGAATAAAACTCTTGCTGTTGTGTGGGTTGTTTGGTTTCTGGTCGGTATGGCCTGGGCGTACCTAGTAAAATGGTCAGTAATAACTAGGATATTTTCATATCCACCACTAGATTTCTCTAATGATAATCAATACAGACAATCTCCATAGGATAAGAACTCTGTATAGGAACCATATGAGCAGTAGGCTTAGTTGGCGCCTTTCTCCTGATGCAATTCAGAAAGGTTCGAATCCTTTCAAACACATCTTGTTCCATATGGGGCCAAAATAATCTCTGCTTAACAAGCCATAGGGTCATATCACGCCCTTGATGACCAACCTCGTCATGAAACCTGTCAAGGCAATACTTCTAAAATGAACTGGTAACACTAATTGAAAAATTTCATTACCATCTATTTCTACTTTTCTAAAAAGAACTTTCTCCTGTATAAAAAGAGAAAACTTATGTCTAATATAAAATTGTACTGCCTTGGACTCTTGTTTAAAATAACATTATTTTTTAAAATATGATAAAATCTAGCAATATCAGGATCTTTTTGCTGTTCCTGTGAAAAATCAACACTTGAAAAATCTGTAAAATCAATAATAGGTTCAGGATTAAGTTCAAGGTCACTATCACCTGAAACAACAACACTTTCTGCCAAAGGAAGTACATCCGATATCACTAAAACTGAATTACACATTGCCTTAATAACATCTGAAATTTAAACAGTTTCCTTTGCAGGATTTCTAGGTTGTCTGCTTAAGCCATCGGCATCAGCATTTGATTTTTCACACCTGTAAACAATTTTAAAATCATAATTACTTAGAGCTGCTAACCAGCGATGACTTGCAGCATCCACCGTAGTCGAGGAGGTTACATAATTATGTTAAGGGGTTGTTGTCTGTCCTGATTAAAACAGAATTTCCATACAAATAATCATGGAATTTGTCAGTTACGGCCCACTTAAGACATAAAAACTCTAACTTATGTGCTGGATAATTCCTCTCGCTAGCACGTAAACCTCGCTGACATAACATATGACACGCTCTAGTCCATCTTGTTCCTGATAGAGAACTGCGCCAAGACCTTCTGTCGAGGCATCTCAAGTAACAATAAAAGGTTTGGTAAAATCAGCATATGCTAAAACAGGGGGTTTGGATAGTTAATCAATAATACTATCAAAAGCTCTTTGTTGAGCATCTCCCCATATCCATGCAGTTTTGGTCTTCTTACCCTTCTTAGAAGCCTTGTTAGTTGGATGTCCTATAAGAAGATCATTCAAAGGTTTAACAATTTTAGCATAATCAGGAACAAAACGTCTGTAATACCCTGAAAATCCAAGAAAAGTTCTTAATGTTTTAACATTATGAGGAACAGACCATGTTTTCAAAGGTTCTGTTTTAGAAGGATCAGTATGAATGCCTTTTGCTGAAATATTATAACCAAGATAAGTTACACGTGTACTAAAAAATTCACACTTGGACGGTTTCAGCTTTAAACCATGTTTTTCCAAACACTCGAAAACTGCTTCCAAACGAGAAATATGTTCTTCAAAAGTTCTGGAAAAAATATGAACATCATCTAAAAATATCAAACATTCTTTAAGGTTTAACTCCCCCAAACAGTTTTCCATCAACCGCTAAAAAGTACTGGGAGCATTGGTAAGACCAAATCCCATTCTTTACACTCATAAAAACCTAAAGGACCTACACTAAAAGCTGTCTTTTCTCGATTTTCTTCAGCAATTTCCACCTGGTAATAACCACTACGTAATCTAATTTAGAATAATATTTTGTATTAACTAAAGAATCCAATAAATCATCAACTGTAGGTAATGTGTATGAGTCTTTGACAGTACGCTTGTTCAGCTGTCTGAAAGCAATACAAAAACGCAAAGAATTATCTTTTTTCCTAACTAAAACAATATTACTATAGTAAGGTGACTGGCTTTCAGTTATAGCACCACATTCTACCATTTCCTTCAAATGTTGCCTTTCTTCTTCATACATAGCAGGTGGGATTCTGCGATAAGGTAACTTGAATGGTTTGTCATCTGTAAGAGTAAAATGGTGTTTGATTAAATCAGTTTTACCAATATCAGTTGAAGATTTTGAAAATATATGTTCCCATTTACCAATAACTTGCTGCAATCTCAAAAATTTCTCATCAGTTAGGTTTTCTTTATTGACCTTAATACCTTAATCCTGTAAAACTTGAAAAGATTTATTATAATTTGTTTCAGGTTTTGGATCTGATACTTCAGGTTTCCATGAATTCATAACCTTAACTCCTGAAAGTGAACAAAATACAGAATTAGGTTTGATTTTAATAACCTTGGCTGTCATGTTACAAACTCTGACAGGTGTCCTAGATGTAGTTCCAGCATTTTCAAGGGAAACAACTCTTGGACAAATATTTAAACGGTTTCTCAATTGCTTCAGTAATAGCAGTACATACACCATTTTTTCCTCACTAAACCTGAAATAGTGGTAACCTGAAACGGCTGAACAACAATTGGTGTTTTGCTAGTAGACTTAACTGAAATAAAATTGACACATTTCATAGCATCTACAGCTATTTTAAAAGGATCTGTTGAAGAAACATTTTCACCAACACTACAAAAACGTAAAACATTGGGACCAATAACACCAGGTACTGACTGTCGGTACTCGATCTGTATCAAAACCAAGTTTTGGGTCAACACTTTTAGTGTTGTCAGACCTGTAAGAAGAATTGAATTATTTGACTTAACATTAACATTCTGTTGATGACCATAGTTTCTGCTATGTTGTTGACCTCTACCTCTAAAGCTTCCTCTGCTGTAACCTGTGAAAGAATTTCTATTGTATCTTGAATAATTTCCTCTTTTGCCTGAAAAAGATCTATTATGACCTGAAAAAGATCTGTCATTAATTGAGGAATCTTGTTTCTTGCTTGTCTTTTTCAGGGGACTGCATTTTGGTCATCAAAGTGTCCATCTTTTTAGAAAGATCTTCAACCATCTTGTCCCTAGTATCTGAAACAGATTGACATTGAACTTTTGATAATTTATCTGATGTTAAAAGCTCTTGTTCTGCAGCTCTAACTTCTCGCAGTAACCTTATAATCAGAAATAATATCATACTATGACTTTATATAGTTAATAACTTCAGCTTTTCATCCAAAATTTAGATTTTAACATGTCATTTCTAGATGAGTGGCTGACGTGACCTCTTTTAACTGCAACCTGCAATAAAATTTCTAACCTACAACCATATGAAGTCACATTCTCAGAGGGCTTCTGTGATTCACTATAACAAGATTGCATGGCAGATTCATTTGTAGAAACATTCCTAAATAATGTATCAAGTTTATTTAAAATATCAGAAAAAGTTGCCTTTTCTCCCAATGGTATAAGAACTTGTCTGGCTGAACGTCGTAATGATTTACGAATAACCTGTATTTAATGAAATTTTCTGTCAAAGAAGAATCTGATAAGAGACATTTATAGTCTCATATATCGCCAAACATCATACGTAACATCACCTTTCAAGGTAGGAACTTCACCTGAAAAGAATGGTAATTTTACATAATTAATTAATGTAACCGAACTAAGTGATCAACATTCATTTTTGGAAAAAATAAGATATCTACTTCAAAGTGTGAGAGACAGGTCGATATACTATTTATTGGCCGGTCTCTTTCACAAGAGACCGGGAGAGAGACCGGAAAATACCAATGGGAGGCCGGCGAACTCCTCATTACTGTACTGATCAGGGGAAGTAACTGCTGCGGGAAGTTTAGCCGGCGAGTAGTATCGATTCGCCACATTAACGATTCGCAATTTAACGATTCGCCACAGTGAAATAGCGATTCGCCACAGTATACAATAATTTTAGTTTGACTGGTCAGTGGCATTTTTTTTAAAATAATTTTATCCTGTTCTTTGAAAAAATGCCATACAGTCTGGGACATACGATAACATCACAGATATATGCTCAGATGCTACTGCAGTAGCCCAACAAATTGTGCGCTTTAGGGCTTTTTTTGTATATTCGGTGGTCGCCCTTCGCCCTTGTAAAGACAGACATCTATGAAATATCAGATTATAAAATCGGTCTGTCTTGCCGTCGAAATATTGAGACTAATGCTAGATCTACTGTTATAACAGGAATTTCATTTTCGATTATAATAATCATCTGTACAGTACAGTACTGTATACAGTACAGTAAAGAGTTAAGCAGGGTACCACTAAAATACGCAACGGAGATTTTTTGGCGCAACGGACGCAACGGGCGCAACGGAGATATTTTTTTTTAGAAAAACCGGCACAACGCCTTTTTTAAAGTCAATGTGCTATATTTAAGCATCTAAAATGATTGTTTAGCACTATTAAGTAAGTATGTTTTAAAATGTTTCATAAATTGTATATGTTTAATTGCACTGAAGGGTTATATGCCTGGCGAAATGGAAATTTCATGGCGCAACGGAGATATTTTTTTAGAAAAACCGACACAACGCCTTTTTTAAAGTCAATGTGCTATATTTAAGCATCTAAAATGATTGTTTAGCACTATTAAGTAAGTATGTTTTAAAATGTTTCATAAATTGTATATGTTTAATTGCACTGAAGGGTTATATGCCTGGCGAAATGGAAATTTCATGGCGCAACGGAGATATTCTTTTAGAAAAAACCGACACAACGCCTTTTTTAAAGTCAATATGCTGTATTTGAGCATCCAAAATGATTGTTTAGCACTTTTAAGTAAGTATGTTTTAAAAGGTTTCATAAATTGTATATGTTTAATTGCACTGAAGGGTTATATGCCTGGCGAAATGGAAATTTCATGGCACAACGGAGATATTTTTTTAGAAAAAAACCGACACAACGCCTTTTTTAAAGTCAATATGCTGTATTTGAGCATCTAAAATGATTGTTTAGCACTATTAAGTAAGTATGTTTTAAAAGGTTTCATAAATTGTATATGTTTACACTGAAGGATTATATATGCCTGGCGAAATGGAAATTTCATGGCGCAACGGAGATAATTTTGGAAAATCGGCACAACGTATGTACTAATATATGAAATTAATTAACACTGGTCAATGTTATTTGAATAAATAAATTTAAAAAAAGGTTAAAAAACCTTAATCGTATATCAAATAATCAAATAGCTGCAATGATGATGTTGTAAAGGATTGTGTGCCGGTGAAATGGTCATTTTGTCTGCGCAACGGAGATTTTTTTTTTGGCGCAACGGAATTTAAAAAGAAAACAATGTTTGTCCTAATTAAGTAGTAATATGAAGAAGTAAATCATTAAAGATATTAACTGAATTACTAAAGTGGTGTAATATTAATTTAAAAATGGAATTAAATACGTTTTTATCGTTATGGCTGACACTGAAAGACAAGTATGGATATTTACAATCTGTTTCATTTTTTTCCCGTTCAATCCGTTATGTTTACGAAAAGTACTGTAATAGCTTTTCTATACATAATTTTCAGAATTTTACTTGAAAAATACGAAAAGTCCGTAATGCATACGCTGTGGACTTTTTAATGTAATCTTAACAATAAATTACCAAATTTCAACAAAAAGCTGCTTAATGGCTTTACTGCTGCACTTTATTTGTTAAAAGCATGACCAGTAGCAAGCAATTTGCTAACCATATTACATTACCTTTTTAGTAATGATTGAAATATTTTATGCATTTTTAAAATTAAAAATAGTAACTATACAAAATATTAATTGTTTGATGAAATTATTAAAATAGTAAAACGACATGCATGTAGAATTTGATGTTCTTTCTATTTCCATTTTAAAACAGTGAAAACACATAAAATAATTAAATTGAACGTTACTTACCAATCAGAAAACCCCGTTAAAATCAAATGCAGCTACTGTTTATTTAGCGAAACAACAGCAATTTGGTGATTTGAAGAATGTTTATCACGGGTGTTAAGTACCGATAATTAAATTACCAATGACACGTGGTTGATGTTTATTAGACACGCGTTTTCACACCATTTAAATAATGTAAGAGGAACGTGTATTGACTTTAAGGTATTAAATATTTTTTATAACTTGTTATTGTCGAAAATATTGCTTTTGAAGCTTATAACCAAACTATGAGAAAACAATGTGTATATATAATGTGAGACGTAATAGAACATTTTGGAGTCTGAATCCGCCACTGATGACGGTCAAATTTTCTATTACAAGTGTTAAAAACATTATTAACAACACCCGTGCCATACACGTGCACGATACGTTGCTAATTGCTAACAATTCTCGCATAATTGATTACCTTAAAAATTTTAAATTGTCAGTATCATAATAATGAAATATTTGGATTGCTTTTGATGAAATATACAATGTATACGCAACAAACAATTATTGAAAAAGTACACAATGATTAATGAAAGATAATAAATTAATAAAATAATATGATATGATAAAACTGTTATGATAATCCCCGTTGCGCCGAAATATTCCATTTTGCCGTAATTTAAATATCTTTTACAATATCCTATTTTCAAAATTTTCTAAAAAAAAGGAAAGTAAATCATTTTTAAAAGACTGTCACTTATTATTCTCAAATTCTTAAGTTATGTTCAAACATAAGATCTACCCGTTATGAAAATCTTCATTTTCCGTTGCGCCGAAATTATGTCCATTTCGCCGTCCATTTAGAATCTGATATATTCAGTCTTCTACTTAATAAAATCAAACTTATACAGTATATGTAAAAAAAATGTATGAATATCAACAATACCAAATAATCAATCGGCGCAACGGAGTTTATGAAAGGTATAACAACAATACAATGAATGTTTATAATAAAAAAAATACTGAACATTGATTCTGTAATATCAACATATGAGTTTATTTAGTATATACTAATGCAAATTCAATTAAAAATTATGTATAGAAAAGCTATTACAGTACTTTTTGTAAAAATAACGAATTGAACGGGAAAAAATGAAACAGATTGTAAAATCCATACTTGTCTTCCAGTGTCAGCCATAACGATAAAAACGTATTTAATTCCATTTTTAAATTAATAAAACAGACTTTTATTACACCACTTCAGTAATTCAGTTAATATCTTTAATGATTTACTTCGTCATATTACTACTTAATTAGGCCATTTTAAATTCTGTTGCGCCAAAAAAAAAAAAAAATCTCCGTTGCGCAGACAAAATGTCCATTTCGCCGGCACACAATCCTTTACAACATCAACATTGCAGCTTATACGATTAAGGTTTTTAAATTTTTTTTATTTATTGATTCAAATAACATTGGTGTTAATTAATTTCATATATTAGTACATACGTTGTGCCGATTTTCCAAAATTATCTCCGTTGCGCCATGAAATTTCCATTTCGCCAGGCATATAACCCTTCAGTGCAATTAAACATATACAATTTATGAAACATTTTAAAACATACTTACTTAATAGTGCTAAACAATCATTTTAGATGCTTAAATATAGCACATTGACTTTAAAAAAAGGCGTTGTGCCGGTTTTTCTAAAAAAAATATCTCCGTTGCGCCCGTTGCGTCCGTTGCGCCAAAAAATCTCCGTTGCGTATTTTAGTGGTACCGAGTTAAGCAGATTCTGTAAAATTCATTAAACAGTTAAAAATATCATTTTATTCAAAATCATAAATTTCCTCTTAGAAATGTAATATTAAATTTAACATTTTACAGTAGATCTACTGTATTGGAAAAGAAATTGAATTGTGAACATTTCTGTCAAAAATCTCAAATAAAAATAATTGGGAGTGAAACGTCTACAGTACTGTGCTGTATCTTTGGGTAGTGAAATGTCTGGCATTCAAACCGGACCTAAGTATATATAAGTGTGTCAGGTTTGACAGTATACTGCACATCTTTCTCTTTTCTAAAGAGACTAAAATATATCAAAAATAACAATACAAGTTTGTGATAACTAAAAACATACTGAAAATATTTTAATGAAACTTGAAAAATAGATACATGGCAGTTACATGATGGATATGATATGCACATCAGTTTAAGCTCATATATAGGGAGTATTATTGAGAGCTGGCCTCCTACTGACACCCTGAGCATTGGTGACCCTGTCCAGATTTCTGATTAAAGTTTTTACGCAGTGAAATTTTGGGAATTTAACCCATACCCATACCCATGGAATTAGGAATTTCAGCAATATTTTGTTAAAAATTGGGAAAAATGCTAGACTGAAAATTTGCAATGACTAAATGAATGCAAACAATCACTGTCTATGAGTAGGATGCCATCTTCTAACATTTAAGCACTATAACAGTGAAGAAGCCCTTATATTTTCAAAGATTTTACAGTTTTTTATTCAGTAACTTTCGATTGGGAATTTTTTTCTGTGGATTGGGAAAATGATATACTATTTTCAAGTGGGAATATGACCCAATATTGGCTATAAAACAAGCTCAAAAAGTCCCGGACAGTAATTGATTGATAATAATTGATAACATTCAAAAGTTAAACTGTATCATGTGAAAAAAAGGCACCCTTTGAATTTAAATAGTTTCCTGTTAAAACTGATAGTAATAAATGTTAACCAAATTGTAATCATAATTACTAACTGAATTTAAGCGGCAATTGATTAATTAATTACAATTAATATAATCAATTTTGGGCAAGGTTTTCAATACATGATGATTTATATATATATGTAGTGTAATCATCATCGGCAATCAATTAGAAAGTTGATTTCGATTAACGATTACCCCAGGTCTGGTGTCTGTATGTGTCTCACAGTGTTATATAGATTATTATAGTGAACTTAAAAATCTTCATGTTAAAAACCAATTTCAACCAAACTTGACAGGATTGAAAATCTGGTTGTCATGGCAACCAAAAGGAATTATAGGAAGAAATTA